TTTCATTATTGATTAATTTGCAGATTTTTCTGCTGATTGTTTAGTCTATAAAATGTCAGAAAATAGCAAAACCTATTGCATTTTATCAAGAAAAGTATTCACAAATACTTTATTCATGCCCAGGGGGAAATTTGTTTAATAAACGATTAGCTGTAACTAGGGAATGATGAACTAATTGATCACTAATATTGGCACTAGGATGTGTCATTTTGCTGTTCCTATGCTTGAGTTTACAAAGCGAACACAGACTGAGCCATATCGTGCATATCCTAACTTTATTTTCTCCTTGCAGAACCAAGCCAGAGGCTGTCGATGTGACGTTCGCAGGTGAGATTATGTGGCACCTTATCATACTGAATGTAGTTTCTTTTGAATGTCCTTGGTTACGTGGTGGTTATTTGTTAAATAAAGCATAAAAGTATGATACCGTACTTTCTGTAAGGGTTTATTCAGTGATCAATGAATGGACTCGACACAAACACTCACATATACCGTAGTACCGCGAAGGCTTAAACTGAGTAGGGATTGTAAGAGGTGGTAACAATTTATCCGTTTAAGAGTCCCTTTAACACCGTTACACCCAATTCCTTAATAAAAATAATAAAAACAGGTAGTGGTGAGTCTTATCATGTCCTTGGCTCAACACACCCTCATGCAAAGGTTGTGTGAATGTTTTCACAATGACCCGGTCAAAGGGTCCAGGTCATGTAGGTTCTTTAAACATTTCCAATACAGTTACCACAGCTGCTTAACATCTTGGTTGTGTTGATTTGGTTGGTTTTTAGCACTATTATACAGTTTTAAAGCCATTTCTTGATACAGATTTGTAGCTGTAATTGCTTCTGCTGTCATCATAGCGGCTATTTTCCTATTGTGCAATTAACCTGTTGTAAAGGTCCACACTGCCAGTAATTGCAGCTAAATGGCACAAAGTGTTACATCTCACATGTGAAATTGATTTGAAGTAATTGCATAGGGTACTGGCAGGAATTCAGGTTTCTAATTAAGGTGGCAAAAGTACAAAATGTGTCAGTGTGTCAAGTTGCCAGAAGTAAAAGGTCAGGTTGTCCCTCATTAATCACCTGCAGGCTTTAATTCTAAACATCTCTGCTGCAGATT